TGCCAGAAAAGGCTCCAAAGCTACACAGAGAAACCCTCTCTCGAAAAACCAGAGAGAGAGAGAGAGAGAGAGAGAGAGAGAGAGAGACAGAGAAAAGGAGGAGGAGGAGGTGACAACTACTCCAATGGCAGGGAATTTTTTCAGTTATCAAAATAATATTAGTAATGCGGGACAGTCTAGTCTTAAACTCACAGAGCTCCGCCTGCCTCTGTCTCCTGAATGCTGGGATTAAAGGTGTGCCACCACTGGCATTAAAACTATTTTATTTTGGCTTTGAAGTAAATGTAATGGGTCCAACAATCCAGACTTGTGTACATATAAATTACAGGTTTTTTCCAATAACTGAACCTTTTTAGATATTCCATTTTGAACTGAATTCAAAAATTCCTTTGAATTCAGTTACCCAGTACCCAGGTATTTTGAGGAAACAGCAACATTGACAGTTGTTAGATAAGTTTTTTTGTTTGCTTGTTTTGTTTTTGTTTTTCGAGACAGGGTTTCTCTGTGGCTTTGGAGGCTGTTCTGGAACTAGCTCTTGTAGACCAGGCTGGTCTCGAACTCACAGAGATCCACCTGCCTCTGCCTCCCGAGTGCTGGGATTAAAGGCGGGCACCACCACCGCCAGTTGTTGATCTGCCTATGGAATAAACAATACTCAATGTAAGACTTATAAGAAAAACAGAATTTTGTGAGTGTCCCCAGTGTATACCAGTCTGATTGTGAAATGACCACTACTAAATCTGTGATGCATACAGATCACTCTATATCTGTGCAGCTTGCTGTGTTTTCCTCCTCTTGTTCATGATTATTTTCCCACATTGTATGCCATTTTACTCTGAAAAGGCTACTTGCCTAAATAATGATGTTGGGCATGATTATTTGTTAAAAACGAAAACAAAAACAGTACTTTTCAGTTACTATAGGAACAGAAATGAGGCACCATCTCATCATCATTTTCCATTAATGTGCAGTTAATGTTATCCATATAGGAAATGCCTTTCTGTGTAAACACTGTGTTTGTGCTAAGTTCCAGGTAAATGGCTGCTTACCTCAGTCTGTCTTGAGCATTTATACTATGTATGCCAACACTTGTCTTTATTTATACTGAGAAATTGAAGGGATACAGAGACTAAAAAGGCTATAGGTTGCCTTTAAAGGCCTTCATTATTTGTATGGATCAGCATTTACTTTATGTATTAGGGACTGAGTATTTAACACAAAATCAGATCTGTTTGGCACTAGCACTCAGGAGGTTGACTATTACTTAACCAAAGAGTTCTAGGCTAACCTGGGCAACAAAACAAGACTCTGTATCAGAAAAGCAAAACAAAATGTTGGGAAGATGGTTTTGGAAGCAGAGTGTTGCTGTGCAGATGTGAGGGCCTGATTTTAGTCCCCAGTGCTAGGTGAAAGCCAGGAGTGGCAGTGCCCACCTGAGAGCACTGGGGAGGCGGAGGCAGGACAGTCCCTGTGTCAGGGAGTACCAAGTTCTGTGAGATAACCTTTCTCAAAATAAATAGAGAGTGATTGTCTACACATAAACACATGTATACATACACATTTTTTTTTTAATTTAGAAAAAGAAAAAGGAAAACACAAGAATTGCATGATAGCAACAAAAAACTTTTTATGTAGAGTTTGCGTTCTTTTTTGAAAAGACACATAAACAATAAATAAAATAGTGCAGGATACTAGTAGGTCAAGGGCATGCTCAATAGAACTCCAGTTACTCAAGAAATAAGGCTAACACTTGACAAATGGGACATGGGGAAACTAAAAAGCTTCTTTACAGCAAAGCGGAAGTTCATGAATAGACAGCTTACCTGACTGGGAGAAAATGTTTGTACACTGTACCTTTG